TGGCTCCATGCCATCTGCCTCATTGCCCTCTTCCCAGCATTCTATTCTGTTTACTCCGCCTACCTAATTTTCTGTCCTATCAAAGGGCCAAGGCAGTCTCTTTATTGACCAATGAAAATAACACAATAGACAGATAACCCTCCTCCATCAGGCAAGTCTGTGGGGTTACTGTCTCGCATTGTGGTTGACGTGAGAGAACCCAGACATTGTGGGAAGTGCCACCCTGAGTGATGGTCCTGGGTGCTGTAAGAAAGCATGTTTGGAGGGCTTAGTGGTTAAGAATGCTGATTGCTCTTTTAGAGGACTGGGGCTCAATTCTTAGCACCCACACAGCAGTTCACAACAGTCTGTAACCTCAGTTCTGATAGATATGATTCCCTTTTTTGGCCTTCAAGGGCACTGCACACGCACGCGCACACACACACACACACACACACAAACACACAAAACAAAAGGTGGTGCTCAGACAAACTTGCAGGCAAGACACCCATATGCATTAAAAGAAATTTCAAGATCTGTTTTTAAAAGAAAAGGCTGGCAAGATGACTCAGTGGGTAGAGGCTCTTGCTGTCAGCCTGACAACCTGAATCCGTTCTTTAGAACCCACATGGAGGAAGGAGACAACCAACCCCCAAAGTTGTTCATTGCTCTCTACCTGAGTCACACATACAAATGAACTAATTAGTGAAACTGTAAAAACTTAATAAAAATATTTTTTAAAGGAAAAAAAAAAGAGAAAGCAGGCTGAGCAACCCAGGAGTGGGCCAGTAGCAGCATCCTCCCTGGCTCTGCTTTAGTCCCTGCCCCAGATTCCTGCCCTGTTTGAGTTCTTGCTCTGACTTTTCTCAGTGATGAACGGTTACCTGGAAGTATAAGGTGAAATAAACCCCCTTCTCTCCATGTAGTTTTTGGTTGTGATGTTTTATTGTAAAGATAGAAACACCAACTAAGCCAGTAGGCAATCTTCATGGCAAAGGTGTGCCAAAATTCTTGACTCTGAGCTGCTGAGACTTTAACCAATGAATTCAAGAATGAGGGAACTCTTTCAATTCGTGTCTTCTTGATTTCCCCTGTATTTCTATCTTACTAAGGCAAATCCATTATTTGTATACAATTTAATACTTTTTGGTATACTTTAAGTGGGTTAATTATATACCATGTGAATTCTTTTTCCACAAAACTGTTAAAAAATAAAGTGCTAAGTGTTTTATAGTATTTTTTAGCTCCAACATACAAGTCTATTGCATAATTTCTGGACATTTAGTTCATGTTGTAGAAACTATACAAAGTGTGGGTTTGCCTAAGTGTTATCTTTAGCAGCCCAGCCTGAACACTTATATTGGGGCTAGGTCCTTATAACCTCTGGTTTTCCCTACCATTCCAATTACAGAGCTTGAGTCAAGAATACTAAGCCAAACTCAATGGTCCCTGGCTTCAGGCTCCTCCCACAAATAAGACACCTTCCCTGTGTAAGCCAGGGTGACCTCAGACTCACAGGGAGCTGCTTCCCTCTGCCTCCTGAGTGCTGGAATTAAAGGCATGTACCACTAAGCCTGCCTCAACGTTGTTTTTCTTAGTGGTCATGTTGTCAAACTACCCTCTAAAGATGTATGTAAGCATCCTCAGATCAGTGTTGCTTTCAACCTTAGTCGGAGAAGTAGTGGTTAATGCAGGGACCCATTCCTGTGTAAAGTGTTGAGAACTATGGCCATGAGTCCTCGGCTGTGGATGGGACGTCTGTATCAAACCCACTTCCCTACCTCAGGGTCCAGAGAACACTGGAGAAGAGGAGGCAGGAAGAATGTGGGAGCTGGAGGACTGGAGTAGGGCTGGGAAATGCTCTCCTCTGGGCCTGGTGTGGATGCTGCACATAGGGATTCACAGATCGGTTACCCCCACAAGATTTGCATACAATCAAGTCAGTTAATGAAGGAAGAAGGGTCTTGGAGGTCCCATTTTTACTGGCAGTTGAGGGAGAGAAAGTAATTTTGCTTTAGGAATGTGACCACTGGTTAGGTTCTCCAGGCCACAGTGAATTATCTCAAGCCCATGGGCATATGGGTAGCACTAATTGAACTCAGTGAGTTAAAATAACTAATTATAAAAGGACGACATAAAGTTGGGAAGATGTGAGAGGCATGTTCTGAGGGACGTGGGGTAGGAGTGACAGGGTAGAAAAGATCAAGATATGTTTTGTACATGTGTGAAAATTCTGAGAATAAACAAAAATTAGTTTAAAAAAGAAAGAAAACAAGGGCTGGGGGCTGGAGAAATGGCTCAGAGGTTAAGAGCACTGACTGCTCTTTGGGAGGTCCTGAGTTCAAATCCCAGCAACCACATGGTGACTCACAACCATCTGCAATGAGATATGATGCCCTCTTCTGGCCTGCAGGCATACATGGAGGCTGAACACTGTGTACATAATAAATAAATAAATCCAAAAAAAAAAGAAAAAGAAAACATGGGCTGAAGTGACGATTCAGTGCTTCAGAGTGCTGTTTGCTCTTCCAGAGAACTAGTGTTCAATTCATAGCACCCAAGCCATGTGTGACCACTCCCAGGGGTATTTGATGTGCTCTTCTGGCCTCCTGGGGGCACTTCATGAACATGCCACACAGCTACACGTGCAGGCAAAGCCACAATCACATGAAAGTAACCTTGAAAAAGTAAAAATAAGAAAGGAAAAGTGGATGCAGAGTACTTCAGAGTTAGGGTGGTCATGTTGAATCCTTGTATAGATCAAAGAGACACTGAAGGTTTTGAGTCAGGCAGTGAAATCACAGCTCTACTTCTGGGGGGGTTCTCCAGAAGGTTTGAAGGGCCAGGAAAAGAGCTGTGAAAGATCGGTGAGAAGTCACGGGAACCTCAAAGAAGGACAAATAGAGGCAAATTAGAAAAAAAGCCATGAAAATAGAGTTGGTAAGTGTACATTGGTTGAGGGTGGTAGGTAGAAGAGATTCGGGTCAAAGAAAACCCAAGATTTAAGGATAGAGACGGCTAAAGTGAGAGATTATTAGTGAAGATGGTTTTCTGTTTAGAATTAAGGCAGGGAAGAGGGGTACAGCTGGAAACCTGGTGAGGTTCTCAAGTAAACTTAGGGTGGCTCATTTGGAGTCGTGTAGATGGGAGTTCAAACTCTGACATGGCCACATTCGAGTTGTAGGACTCTAACAGATTATCTGGTATGCAGAAGTAAAGGTAGTAATAGCACCGTGGAGTTGGGAAGATGGAATGAGTTAATGGATAGTCATTTAGCTCAAAATGACAATTCTCATAAAGGGCAGTCTTACACTATCTGTATAGCCAGGCTCTCCCCGAAGCTGCTACAACCAGGACCAGAGGCGGCTGATAGGCCAAATGCCCTCTATGCTATCTGTATGACTGAGACCAGGCCAGACCCTTAATCTGGTACAGGTAGCCTATCTCCAGAATCCATCTTCTTGGAAGAAATGACATGTGCCCTGGGTTGAGTTTTGATATAATTATGCTTCCTTGTGCACTGGGGATTACGTGTGTGTGCGCATACATGCAAGTTTGCATGCATCTGTGCATGTGCGCGCGTGCGTGTGTGCGTGCATGTGTGTGTGTGTGTGTGTGTGCCTGAGGAAGCCAGAAGAGGGCATCGACTTGCCTGAACCTGGAGTGTGATCTGCTCAATGTGGGTGCTGGGAGCTGAACTCCTGTCCTTTGAAAGGGCAGGAGTGCTCTTAGCAACTGAGCCATCTCTCTAGTATCAACTCGCTCTTTTTAAAAACTCTAGAAGGGACATGTGCAGATCACATGGTTTCTAAAGTTGCCTTTCTTCTCCATTCCTTCTCTCTCTCCTGGGAAATACAGCCATGCTTGACTCTCTTACCTGCTCCCTTTTACCCTTCACTCTCCTTACCAAAACCAACCAACCAACCAATCAACCAACCAAACCATCAATAGCCTGAGGTAGGTGGGGATAGTATAATGAAAACCAAAAAGAAAAAAAGCCAGATGCTTAGTAGCTAGAGGTTGATGCAGCACAGCGCGGGAGTCTGCAAACAGTGTAGAGCAAGATACATCATGACTACCCAAGACCAGCATAACCAACTGAGATGGCTTAACTTTGCTTTGCCATGATGCTGTCTCCACATCATTACCTTCACAAAGTCTCCACTTCCCATCATGCATTTGATACAGTATATCCCTAAGCCTCACATAAGAACAGAAAAGGGAAAAGAAACCAATTTGGAATAAATCTTGTTTCTCAACTTTGACTCAATAATAACTCCACGCCCCCTTTAGAGTTTTCCCATAAGATGCGCTCCTAGACCCCAGGCAGCATTATTCTCTTGACAAGTCCACTCTCTCTCCCTCCTATCATTGGGTATTAATTATACAATATAGTAGGCACAACACTCCATCTTGTGTACTTTTGCCCTGAAATTAAACCTCCTCCTTATTCCTCCCTTTGTTTTTTATGAATTCTTTCTCTGAAGGTAACAATAACTTGGAAGCGCCGACTAGAGATCTCAATCTGCTCTGTCTCTCACAGAGCTCCGCCTGCCCCAGCCTCCCGAGTGCTGGGATTAAAGGTGTGCACCGTGTCCGCCCGTCTGCTGTCTCTCTCTGAGACCTCCCCAGCCTTCATCAGCAATAAAACCAACTACAGGATTTCCGACCAACTCATCAACCCACTTTATGTCTTTGTCCATTCTCTCCCCTTTTCTTCCAATTAGGAGTCACAAAAGCCCATAAGGACAATGGGAAAACAACCCCCAGATCTAGGGTGGGAGGACTAGGTTGACTGGAAGAGTAAAACGCCTAATAAACCTTATAGGGCAATTATTTCCTGTCACAAGTTTTTTTTTTTCTCCTTATGTGCAAACCATATTTTAAAAGAAAAAACAAGGAAAGAAAATGTGTCAGTGGCAAGTTCTCTTGAAAGTGACCCCAGTATCTCAAGTGAGTATCTTCTGTACCCCTTTACGGTCATCTGTCTCCTAAGCCAGGAAGGGGACTCCCAGCCTTACCTGTCTATGCTGATGGCACAGAGGTTCAGGATGCTGGCTGTACACATCATGACATCCAGGGTGACAAAAACATCACAGCAAATGCGGCTGAAGTTCCAGACTCCACCTGTCACCTGCATGTTAGAGACAAGAAGGATGTTAGTGTTTTCCCCAGAAAAGAACAATAACCCAATCAACTCTCGTGCCTTCCCTAAGATGCTCATCATAGATGCCAATGCACCTTCCTGGCTCCCCACGGTGGGTGCCATCAGTACCAGAGGGCTAACAGGCACAGGGGATGTGCCAGGAGGTCTGGGGTTGATTGTTAAGGAAGGGATGGGATGGAGCGCTAGAGCTAGGAGAGATCGTCAAGATTAATTAGTGCAGGAATTCTCAGAGTGGCTCACAGTGGGATATTCGTTAAAGACATAAATTTCTGAATACCCCATAGACCTAGTGATTCAGAGTCCCCGGATCCAGAGCTCATGGACATTCATCTTAAAATAAGCACACCCCAGTTGTACTAAGGTTTTGGCAGTCAAACTTGAGGTTCAACCTCGGGGGTGCTCCTTGTAGTTAAGTGGTATGCGCACAGATACATCTCAGCCCATAGATGCACAGCTGTTAGTAAAAGCACTTGGGTAGCTGCCCAATGGGAGCCTTGTGCCAAAACTGCCTCTCTGAAGCCCTCTGCCCAGTAGAGAGCTCACCATGTGCTAAGAAAATAAGCTAAGAACACATTTTACATAAAACATGACTCCAAAGCAAAATTTTCTGTGACTTCAGACTGTAAAGCTTGGAAACATTATAAGACATCTATGAGAACAAGACTAAACCGTGCGACTGCCTTTGACCCTCCCCCCTTTGTCCCAACCTCTACGAGGTGGGAGAAGGCTGGACCCAGAGGATCAGAGCAAAACAGTGATGTCCCCCAGCTAGGTGATGCTAGCCGTGACCTGCTGCCCGTGCACATGGAATCGACCTCCAGAGCTTCCTGCGAGTAACAGAAAGCATCCGGGATTAAGGCGGATTATATGGTAACATAGTTCTATTTTATTTTTGCGTGTTTATATAACCCAACTTAGTAAGTAAGATGCATCAGGGACAATGCAACTTTTTGATTAGCCATACACTGCTACTTATAGGCTCTGAGGCGTGTGGGTTGCCATTCTGGGGGATCACGGCTCCCAGTGGGAGTTTGTGTCTCTGATTACTGCATTTTTGGTGTCTCTTCTGAACAGGCATGAAGGCTAAGAGATGGGACAGAGACAAATAGACCCAGCAGACGCTGGCCAACGAGAGTGAAGGAGGAGCTGCCCTCTGTCTGGTTCCCATCTGAGACCCGGGTGTGGTGAGACTTCCCGTGTCAGGTCCATAAAGCCCTGAAGGGTCCATCCTCCTTCCCTAATATCTTCTGGAGCTTTTTTTCCTCTCAGTCTCCCGTTTAATCTCTATGTTTGGTCATCCTCAGACTATTTTGAGAAACGCTGACCAAAGATGCTTTGTTTAAAAGCAACCAGGAAAAGTTAAAACAAGTGAAGTCATCATATTTGTTCACTTGGTTCTTGATTTACTTCCTCTTAGCTAGATCACTTGGCTCTGTATAAATAGAGGCCCTGCATAGATTTATAGGGATACTGAGAATGAACATCTTCTCAGAAGAAGAGTTTATGGATTCTGATCTACAGAGTCACCACACAGTGACTTCAGAGAGACAGCAGTGAAAGATGATTTTGATCACACAGGACAATTGCATGGTATGCAAGCTTCTCCCTCCCCAAACTGACTGAATTTTGTGTTCCTGATTTCTTTTTCTTTCTTCCTTCCTTCCTTCTTTTCATTTTTTTGTATTTTTTCTTTTCTTTTCTTTTTCTTTTTCTTTCTTTTTTTTTTTTTTTGAGACAGGGTTTCTCTGTAGCTTTGGAGCCTGTCCTGGAACTCGCTCTTGTAGACCAGCCTGGCCTTGAATTCACAGAGATCCACCTGTCCTCCCCTCCCCAGTAAAGGTGTGCACCACCACTGCCTGGTTTGTGTTACTAATTTCATTCTACATATGTCTACTGTGTAACTGGAGTTGTGACTTGGGGAAAACCTACTTTTTTTTTCATATAATTGAGTGTGTCTGCATGTTGTGGGAAGTTTAAAGGAGAAAGAAAAGTTGGGACTGCGGTCAGCCTCAGTGCTTCCTGGTGCTTTGTTCATTCATTCATTCTTCCATGCATATAGTTACCAAACAAGGACTTGTGAAGCTGTAATAGTCCACAGAAGGAAGGCATAGAATGCTTTTTTAAAGGTTTTGTAAAATGTACTACAGGGTGTCTCCTTGAAGACTTATGTGATAACTATAGAAAAAAGGCATTTCTCATTATTATTACTTATCATTATACGTGTATGTATGTGTGCCTGATGTATATGGGCATGCATGCCATGGCTTGAGTGTGCAAGTCAGAAGAAAGCTTAGGGGAATCAGTTTCTCTCTTTTCCTTTTCATGTGGGTTCCATGGATTGAACTCAGGCTGCCAGGCTTACGGGGCAAACACCTTTACCTGGAAGGCCATCTCACCATGCCTGGACAAGGCGTTCTTGAACACAGCAGTAACTAGAGATCGGTATGAATGCCTGGTACAATTACTACAAACTAACATTTGCTGAAGATTTCTCCTACTTTTATCACCTACCCACATGACCCATTCTAGGAGTTTCTACAACTCTGAAATTTCAGATTTTGAAAACAGATTTTGGTTTTTTTTACCGTATGTCCTAGTGCAGCTTTTTGAGGCGTGTATAATTTGATAGGAGATTAAACGACTGTTACTTAACCAACTCGATAATGGCAGAGACATTTACTTGCTCACTGCTGCTCTGGGGCTCCTGGAGCTGGGGTTAGGCATGCAGATACCTCCGTCAAGACTGAGTGCTCTCCGACATACTAAAAGCCATTTATTGAATGCTTGCTAAGTGCCCGGTGTCCTGCAAAGCCCTTTGCAGACGTGGCCTCTTAGTGCTGATTATAATCTCCTGCGGGAGAGACTGTGGCTGGAGGTTATCTGCAGAGGTCTGTCTGTCTTAAAGATCCCACGAGCTCCTTGACCTCTACTCTGCTGTTTGACCTTGGTGGAGTAGAAGATTGGGGTTATTGAGGGATGGAGAGTTATCCAGGTTTAGTGCCTGTAGAAAAGTACCCATTTACTTTATTTTTTTAAAAAATATTTATTTTGGAGGCTGGAGAGATGGCTCAGAGGTTAAGAGCACTGCCTGCTCTTCTAATGGTCGGGAGTTCAATTCCCAGCAACCACATGGTGGCTCACAACCATCTGTAATGAGATCTGGTGTCCTCTTCTGGCTTGCAGGTATATATACAGGCAGAACACTGAATAAATCTAGTCAGGCAGTGGTATGTACCTTTAATTTCAGCACTTGAGAGGCAGAGGCAGATGGATTTTTGTGAGTTCAAGGCCAACCTGGTATACAAGAGCTAGTTCCAGGATAGGCTCCAAAGATACAGAGAAACCCTGTCTCAAAAAGTGTTTTCAAGTGTTTGCCTGCTTGTATATATCTACACTACATTTGTGTGATGTTCATGAAGGCCAGAAGAGGGCATCGAATCCTCTGTAACTGTAGTTACAGACGGTTGTGAGCCACCATGTGGGTGCTGAGAACTGAACCTGGATCCTTTGGGAGAGCAGCCAGCATTTTTAACTGCTGAGCCATCTCTTGTTTTTACTTTTAACCACTGTCTCTGGCCAAAAGCTCTCAAGACTGTTGGATAAACCTCTTGGAATGTATTGCTGAAGTCAGCAACCACCAACTCTAGAGCTAAATAGCTTCTCTTAAACTATAGAAAAGATCTTCCACCTCCCTAGCTCGCCTAACTTGCTGTCCCAACCAAACTTATTTTTCCCATGTATTGTTTTGACTTTCTCTCTTCTCTGGCTATTAAAGTTCATGCCACTCTTTCCATGGCACAAATCAAATCCAAGTTCTGAGGACAGGGTCACTCACATTTGCCTCAGGATAAAGGACTTTTACTATTTTCTTTAAAGCAGAGTTGTTATTTTTACACTGATGGGACTATTAATAACTTTGTTATGCAGGAAGCAATCTTAGAGAGGTCAAGCCAATTGTCGCAGGTCACATGGTTGGTAGAGGCAGACTGGACACTGGATGCAGACAAGGCTGCTGTAGAGAATCACACAGGAAGTGCAGCTTGTGGACTGGAGTGAGTGGACACAAAGAAAAAGGAGAATCAGGGGGGCTTTGGTCTGGGGAACAGGCACCTTTCTGACTGCCCCATCCCAGGACTGCAAATCAGTAATGGAAAAGACCCCCAGGGTGGGGCATGGGGCTGCTGCATAGGGTCCTGAGTGGAAGGACACAGCGCTTTCTTGTTGAACCCACAAGTTGGTTCCCCTGGAATGAGACCCCCATTCTGTCTATGTTTCCCTTTTCCAGAATGTGCCATCAGAAATCCCACTCTTTCATTGATCTCAGCCGAGTGCCAAGAAGAAAACAACCTGATTAGCTGATTGAAGTGATTCCTACTAAGCTGCTATCACTTAACTGTTCTGGGCGCTCACTCATTAAAATAAATCTGTAACTGGTAGACACACTTTATATATATACATATATATGAATGTTTATACTACAATCTCCCACACCATGTAAATAACAGTAAAGGATGAAAATCTAAAGTGCTAAAACCATTCTAAGTAACCGGCTCACATCATTTCCGGAAAACTCAGTCAGGCAACTATGAAGTTCAATTTGTAGGTAAATGGAGACTTGGGGCAGGAGAGGGGTTCTTTTCTTGAGAACATGCAGCTAGCAAAAAGAGCTAGACTTTTCACCTCTTCCTCTCAACCGAGGACTCCTGTCCTCAAAGACTCCCATCTTGGCACACAGTTCAGTTCCACCCTGCTAGCATTGGAGGCAGTAGCTTTTGACCTTTGTTCATCCATTTACCCAGAAAGTCACTGATTGACTGCTCTCTTGTTTGAAACGTGGCTGGGAGGGGTGTGTTGAGATAAATTCAACCTGGTTTTGTTCCCCGCGGCTCTGATGGCTCTGACGACAGTGCCTGCCTGAATTGGGAGAGGAATGTGTAAATGGGTGTGGAGGGATGGAGGACCTAAAC